GCTTCACGATGCCATAGAAGAACCTTTTTGTTTAAATGGTTCCATAAAGAACCTTTAACATCTGAAGAACCTTTCTGTTTCACAAAAGGTTCTTTGTGGCGAAAAATTAAAAAAAACCATTAAATTCGTACTTGTTTACATAGTCATCTTTTTAAACGAGGTTAGATCATCTTATCTTTCATTATTATCTTTCTTTGCATGCCAGCTTACTATCTTTTCTATTCTCAATTTTATTATTTATTTTAATATCTGTGTATCCTTTTTCTGATAACTACTGGTAAGTGAGAACAACGCAGTTCATTGTCATTTGACAAATAAAACTTTGTACAGCTGCTACAGTAAGACCAGTAGCGAGGCTACACTCTTAAAAATAAAGGTGCTTCACGATGCCATAGAAGAACCTTTTTGTTTAAATGGTTCCATAAAGAACCTTTAACATCTGAAGCACCTTTCTGTTTGACAAAAGGTTCTTTGTGGCGAAAGAAGGTTCTTCAGATTACAAAAAGGTAAGAAATAGATGGTTCTTTAAATAACCTTTGATTGAATGGTTCTTTGTGGAATCAAAAATGGTTCTTCTATGGCATCGCTTGAAGAACCTTTTGAAGCACCTTTATTTTTAAGAGTGTATACAAACGATTTAATATAAAGCTAAATGTTTAATGTTAAAACTAACTGTAAACGTAAATGATTGAACATTGCCTTACAAACTTATTACGTGGGCATTGGAACTAGTAAGATTAATGGTGTGAATATTTGTTTAGAAAAGGAAGCACTTGCCTGAATATGTCCATTTCTCTCCATCTATTCCAGCTGATGCGAAATTCAGCAATCCGGTGAATAACAGGACTACACACAGCTGCATTCTCAAAGTGCACAGACTCTCTGAGTGTGATGTATGCTCTAACAGTCTCGTTCACAGGATTGTACAGAGGTGCTGAGAGTGACATTGATTGCAACGGTTTACTATGAAGGTAGAATGACGTCAAAAAGATTTGCATACGCAGGGTAAGAGTTGTGGAAGTGTACACAAGACTGTAGCCAGAATGGCAAGGGCGTGTAGTAACATGGCCATTTAGAGAAGCTTTGACGTATTGGCAAATAAATGTTTGAAGCAGCTGTAGTTCTCAAGATTCACTAACAGGTCCATCTGGCTTTGTTCAGTCGATTCCTCCTTTTTTTTCATGTTTACTCTTAAGGTTGCACCTTTTTAGATAATATTTGAATTTGAATATATAGAGACTTTGCTTATCTATAAAGGTGTAACGTTAACATGTCAAACTGTTTAAATGATGACATGAGATGAAGACTAATAAAAGCTGATTTATTTTAAGTCATAAAATAATAACAATGTAGCAGGTGGTTTAAGGAAATAATTTTCTGCAAATCAGTATTACATAACGTGACTATTTCATTTTATCAAATAACGCATATATATATATATATATATATATATACTGCTTTGCATTTTCTAGGGAAATTAAAACCATTAACATGGAAACATGGATAGCAACTCAGATCACTCAGACTTGTTTCGTCAAGTTGCTGGCTAAATCTAGGTCTTATGCTAAATGAAGAGTAAATATGTACTCATGAATAAATATGTTTAACAGCTCTAGACACTAATAACAGTTTTGATCGCTGTCTTATCAAATAACGCATATATATATATATATATATATATACTGCTTTGCATTTTCTAGGGAAATTAAAACCATTAACATGGAAACATGGATAGCAACTCAGATCACTCAGACTTGTTTCGTCAAGTTGCTGGCTAAATCTAGGTCTTATGCTAAATGAAGAGTAAATATGTACTCATGAATAAATATGTTTAACAGCTCTAGACACTAATAACAGTTTTGATCGCTGTCACAACATGTTTTTACAAGTTATAGTGGAGCGGAAATTTAAAGAAGAAACTGGGGGACAACATAAGGGGGACTGCAGTGACAAACAATACAAACAGTGCTTTAAAAATATTATAAATCTTACAATGGATACTGTGATATTTTTTATTATAAAACACTCAATGGTATAATACTCTTAACAAAACTCAAAATGGATAGGCCTATATGCTGTTTGGTACACATGAAGATGAAGTAAAACAGTGCACAAATTAGGAAAAGGGTACAAAAATATCAAAGTGTTTTGATGTCTCAACACTGTTATTTTAATTATCGGATGTGAAATCAACATCAAACAGGCCAGCCACTGATTAAATGAGGTACTTAGAGTGATGGAGTCTGGAGAGAGAAACCACAGAGGTCAAAGGTTACTTTGAAGTCTCTAGAGTTTAGTAGCTGATAATTAAGTAAAGGTGCTCCACTTGGTCATGTCAAGCGCTTTGCATAGTACTGTACAGAACTCTGTGAAAACATGTCTGTAGTTTGCAAAAAGCATAATAGCAGCACAGTTGTAATGAGGAAAAATATGTTAAGATCAAGATGTACCTTTTACATAAATTCAGAGTGATATAAGGAGCACAAATCTACTGGCTCTGCTGTGGGAATGTTTTTTGTCAAGATCAAAAAGGTAAAAATTCCTATCTTAATCTGACATCGTTACTTTTTTATGGATTTTAACATCAATGGTACAACTAAATCTAACTGACAGTAGGCTATGTGGTATTTTTGTGTATATTTGTGGAGCAATTTTCAGTTTGTTTTTAGATTATAGCATCAAGGGAGCATCAGCCACACTAGGCATATTATACATTATACATGATATCAAAGCTGACAGTTCCTAAAAGAAAATGACAAAATACAACATTCATCCAAATCTATAAATCTAGCAAGGGCACACAGAACAGGAAAATAAGGGAACATGGACAGATAAAGGTACACAGATAAAAATATTGAAGAACATAGCGTGCTACCATTCAAAGACATAAAGTAAGAAACTAGGTTAATGTCCTTGTACAAATGATAATTGTCTGACCAATGTGTTTTTTTGTCGGTTGATTCGTGCAATTAGAAGGAGAATTTAGAAATGTCTAATTTTGCTGTATTTTGCAGCACTAATAAGACAACAGATGTTTTTGTTCTAATTGCCTCAAGCCTTGTCAATCTTCAGTGGTTTGAAATAAAAACTCAATTTCAATGTAACTTAGAGTAATGAGAGAATTGGTTAAATGCTATTGAACACTATTCCAAGTCAATCTATATAGTCACAGAATGGAATTCCAAAAGATAATGACAAGCATCCAAATCCTATAGACATACTACCATTCAAAAGTTTGGGGTCAGTAAGATTTTTTTTTTTTAAAGAAATTAATACTTTTACTCAGCAATGATGCATTCAATTGATCAAAAGTGACAGTGAATACATTTTAATGTTACAAAATGTTTACATTTCAAATAAATGCTGTTCTTTTGAACTTTCAAAGAATCCTAAAAATTGTATCATGGTTTTTGACAAAAATATTAGGCATTAACTGTTAACATTGCACAACACTGATAATAATAAGAAATGTTCCTTAAGCACCAAATCAGCATAATATAATTATTTGTGAAGGATCGTGTGACACTGAAGGCTGGGTGTTGAGATTTCTGCTTTGCCATCGCAGGAATAAATTCCTTTTTAAAATATATTTAAAAAAATATATCAGTTATATTTCACAATATTACTGTTGTTGAAATCTCCAGTAGCCTATATTCTGTAAAAAGACAAATTCAAACAAAAATACTTTTTATATAAAAGGATAACGCTGTAGTTTATAACCATGAAAATCACAGAACTATACAAATGATGTACTGCATGTCTGAGGACTTGAACCACCATCTCTTAGTCATGGCCTAATGGTTAGAGACTCGGACTTGTTACCCAAAGGTTGTGGGTTTGAGTCTCGGTACCGTGGATTGTATGTGGGGGGAGTGAATGACCAGCGCTTTCTTCCACCCTCAATACCACAACTGAGGTGAGACCCTTGAGCAAGGCCCCAACTGCTCCCCGGGTGGTGCAACAAAAATGTCTGCCCACTGCTCTGGGTGTGTGTTCATGGTGTGTGAGTGTGTGTTCACTACTCACTGCTGTGTGTGTGCACTTGGATGGGTTAAATGCAGAGCACACATTCCGAGTATGGGACACCATACTTGGCCACACGTCATGTCACTTTCACTCTCACTAAAAACGTTTGAAGTGCCAGTCCTATTATCAGCCATAAAATGGCGCACTAGTAATCTTGCTCAAGGTCATTCACTGAGTGAGGCTGCCATAGTCGAAGCTAGAAAGCGCACAGCATCACTTGGTCCATCGTGTGCGTTTGAGATGGAGAGATGACATTGAGAATGTATTTGTAAATGTAAATGATAATGCTTTCATACAGTGCCCACTTGCATATATTATGATATGCTATTATATACAAAAAAAAATAAAACATAACCTTCTAAATACACTTGAAAAAAACGTGATTTTCTATTTTATAAAGATGAATGCATTGACTAAAAAAACTCTCAGCTATCAAATGAATTAAAGTATCATTTGAAAAACACCAGTTTAATATATTCAAACAATATTTCTATAAGAGATCGTGTCATCAACATATTTATAAATACTAATAACAATATACCCTTTGAAACCAGTGTGCAATCGAATGTACATAATTTTCTAGATCACAGTGTAAACTGAGTTTAAAATGACATAAAATCTGCCATGTCCAATCAGTGTCTGTCCACCCATGTGCACACTCACTGTGACGCATCACTGCTAGTGGGTGATGCTTTGCACGTACTCGACTATGCACCAGTTTCCAGCATAAAATACGAAAATATTGGAGTCAAAAAGCTTTAAACACAAGATACACTAATAATATTCCAGATAACGTCAAGTTCATGTCATTAACAGCATTGAAATAAAATAAATACAATTTTAATCACTGAATTAAAATGTCCGCATCCTTGTCGAAGGCGGAGTCCCGCCGGTTGAAAACGTGCAGTTTGCCATGCAATATCGTTAGCGTGCCGCGTGAGGCGCGTCTGACCAATCAGAGCACGAGAAACGCGCTAGCGCTGCCCGCTTCCTCACTTAACAGTGCGCGAGAGCAGCAGCCTTCTGCCTTCTCTGCTTTCTGCACCACGGTCAGCTCTCGACTGTCCTTGCGCTGGCTAGGCCAGATACGGTAAGGTGAATGCAGGGCGTATGTTGTAGCTTTTATATTTTAGCAGTTAATGATATTTGTCATGAAAAATAAGATGTACTAAATGTGCTAGATCAGTGGTCGTGATGTTCGACCGAGTTATGCAATACTGTATGAAGGCGATGCTGTCGTGCGGTGACGTCCTGTAGAATATGAGTGTACAGTTACTATTATCTAATAATTTTTACATTGCAACATTTATGTCACGCAGAGTTGTTTTTAAGAAGCAGATGTTCTCATGAGCGAAATACGTTCATTCAAAAATGTAAAATGACGTTTAGTGTAGAAAGTATTCGTCTTCGGTTACAGCTGCTGTACACGGGATTTTATCAGCAAACTAAAACAAGTCCCGGGTTGACACCGGATATTGGAAAGACCTGTAACCGGAGACATTGCTGTTATTTATTTTGTAGCTTTTAAATGTACTGAATGAACTATATTTGATTGTTAATGTGACATATTTTATGTGGTCATCACAGATGTTTAAAATCTTGAATTTGAAGCTAATTTTAATGTAATTCTCAATATATATGTCTGTTAAAATTGAGAGCAACACATTCTCTGTCCACTGCAGACATAAGGCCAGTCACTTGTTACTGTCTGTCTCAGTTAACCCAACCCACTGTGTTGTGGCCAGTGGGAAGTTTCAACAGACATTTAAGGCTACAGGATTTTCCATTGGTCCAAGTGAAGTGTATGTGATTTTTTTGTTTTATATGTTACCACATAATGTTGACAGGGCAGGAAATGGTGATGATGAGGAAATGGGTCTTGTGATATCCATGGGAAAGGTTTTTTTTTTTTTTGTGAAATCCTGGTCTGACAATGAAAAAAGGGGTTTTTGAGAAATTGTTGTTTTTCTATATGAGCAAAAAAAAAAATCCTTGGTTTTATTACACAAAAGCTTCAGAAAACATATTATTCTAAAGAACATCCAAGTAATTCATTCATATGAATAGTGCCCCAGATTAATTCAGACCTTCACAGGCATCATGCTAGAGAGGATTTGATTGTCGCTACACATTTCTAAATGTCCAGTACAGCTGCATTTTAGGTGAACAGGTGCCGGCAGCTGAAAGGCTCAGCTTTTCTTGGCTGAAGTGGGAAATAGTTATCTGCAAGTCATAAAGTTACTTTATTCTCAACTTCTGGTGCCTATTGCTCAGGTTGACTGTCATATTGGGGTGGATTACTGTGAGTCCTTTGGTGACTGCATTAACTGAAACTCCAAATCATATAAAGAGTGGATGCTGATGAAATGCGGTGAAACAGTGTAGAACCTTATAGTAATTTCCCCACCAGGAAATGACTCAACTACTCCAAACCAAGTCATGGAGTAGTTGAGTCATTTCCTGGTGGGGAAATTACTATAAGGCATTCAGTGTGATTAGGTATGGCAAGAAGTACAATTTATATTTATATGTTATCATAAAGCATAATTATCTAAATATTTTTTACAAGAAATACTTTTCTTTGAAATGATAAACTTAATTATATAAAAATAATAAAATTATATTTTGTCTAAATTAATTAAAAATAAAATACTGAAAACTGTGACGTGAGTCTATGCATCATCAACACATAATGTTCAGAATAAAAAAATGGGTATTTATTTTGAGATTTGCTAATGATTAGATTAAACCATGTTATTAAATTTATTAGCATTTCAAAGAATAACTTTAAGACTTAATGTAATCTAAATGTAAAAATAGGGTAAATGAGCTTGAACAATTAAATATCCAATATCGGTTGTTTCAGATAAATAAAATCAGCTACTCATGTTTTTTTACGCTTTTTATTTTTCTGTTCAGAAACTGCAACATGTCCATCCTGAAGATCCACGCTCGTGAAATCTTTGACTCCCGTGGAAACCCCACTGTGGAGGTTGATCTCTACACCAAGAAAGGTATGTAATAGAGCCCGAACGATATGGGATTTTTGGGGCCGATACCAATATTAGGGGGGTAAAAAAGGCGATATCGATATATCGGCCGATATTCTTTGTGTATATTATAGT